AAGCAATCTTAGTCTTTAAAAATAAGATGTGGCCAGTTTGTCTTGCTGTCCAGACAAGTCCTTTGATGTCAAAACTGGCTGATAGCTACTCTGAAAGCTGCTGAAGTAGGCAGCATGTATGGTTGACGGGTTTCTTGTGCCTCGAGATACACCTTGAACTGACTCCCAGACCAAAACTAAGAAAGAGTTCTAGTGCTCAGATACTGCTCTTATCTATCCTGGGTTTTTACTTCTTAAACTTTCACTGCTGGCTAAATTATCACCTTCTACCACTTAGTCTGAAAGCTGATTTCATGCCAAATCATTGCATTCTTTAGTCTCTTAACGTTTTAAAAACTCCTGAATTTCACGTTTTCAGACCATGTATCCTGACTATTGTAGATTTCATGGAACAGTTGTAAGAGAGCTTTGAGACAGAGTTGAATCCCACAGTATCCTGAACTCTACCTTGCGTCCTTACAAGCTTTAACTTTAGAGCGGTAACCAGTGTTTGAAAAACTGGTGTTTTTTACGGGATTGGAATCGTTTTGACAAAAAATCAAAAGCTGACTTTGTACATTTAAACGTAATGTTGACTACTAGTGTTGGGGTTAAAGGATGTAAGGATGGGCAAGTGCAGTAATTAGTGTTTTACTCTTCCATTGGAGGGTGACTTGGAAAGGATCAGAAGGGATTGGGTTGGTTGGGTTTTTTCTTTTTTGTTGTTACCCAGGTTGTCTTCTGGAGCCAGAAGCTGCGGGATGAGCAGAACCCGTCTGGATATCCAGAGAATCCTGGTGTACGGGACTGGGAGTTAGCAGTCCTTATACCTCTATTGTTAAGAGGATGCAAATGGAGATACAAAATTTTTAGGGCAATAATAGCTCACGGTTTAGACAGCCAGAGAATTCGGGAGACATATCTGTCTTTTCTCTACAGCTTCAGAATTTATATGATATTTTAAATGGCTTCCAGTATAGTTCAAGTGATGTATTCCCTAGAAGGCCAGTGGGAAAAAAAACCCTTCCAGTAAAAGGAGAACAGGAGTTGCTTAACTACTACGTTAGTGTCCCAGGCTGAGCGTTAAAGCCTGGGTTTGCAGGTTGGTTCTGCCACAGAGGCCAGGTGTCTGAAGGGTTTGGATATAGCTGTGCCTAGTTGATTGTGATGTTCCATTTGGGCTGAGTTGTGATATTACAGTTTATTCCGATTTTTAAATAAATACTTTAGAGATACAGTGTTAAAATGTGTAACTCACAGACCTAAAAATCAAAAGCCTTTTCATTGTTTAGGATTCTGCCATTATTTTTCTCAGGGTAATTGGAGAGCAGGTTGCTCGACATGTGTTTTAGAATCTTTTTTTTTTTGTTGTTTTGCTTCTTTGTACCAAAGCTAAAATGGAGGGAGGGAGAGAGCCAGGTTGGCATGGATACGTGACATACTATTAAACATGGCATTCTGGTTTTGTATCTTTAAATCGGAAATTATTTACATAATGTGCAGTGGTAGCGAAACTGTCTTTTTATCAAAGTTTTAGGCTGTATTCCTCAGCAGGAGAGCATGTTACAAAAATGTTTGTTACGTTTTGATAGCCTTTCCTGAAATGGCAGCAGTTTATATTTTTTTCTTAATACAAAGAAAATAATTGAGATACTACTACTGTTGGAATTTTGTAAATATATTTTTTTAGTTTTATCTAACAGGTTGATTGTTGCTCAGTGACATTGGACAGCCTGACTAAACATAGACAACCTTATCCGCAAGATTCTGCGTGCTCAGAACAGTTCTTCGACTGGTGAAATGCTCAGGGAACAGCTTGTAATATTCACTACTTTTTTTATAAGTATTTTCTTTTGGAGATTTTTAAGATGTGGCAAACAGGTCCTTATATAGTATTGCCAAAGCAGAGCTGCAGAAGCTGATAAAGTCGCTTTCACTTATGTTAACTAAGGAGCCTCCTACCTTGTGAGATTATGGAGCTGTTTCAGCTTGATAATGCTTTAGGCTTGACTAGTGTATGTCACAAAAAATAAACTAAGCTATCACGATGCAGCTTCTCCTGTTTTGTTTTTTTTTTCTCGTTAATTTCCTTACTAAGTTAAAACTGTGTGGGAGAAAGGAGAAATTAGAGGGTAGGGGGAGGGCAGCAGTGGTGCTTGGAAGTTTTACGAAGCCTAAAATTGGTGTTTAGTATTCAGTGATTTTTTTCTTAATGCAAAAATTCTAGAAGTTCAGAATTCCTTTTGTTCCAGTTTCAAACAATGCAGCTTTGTTCCCAGTGTGCAGAAACAAAATAAGTGAAACTAGTCAAACTTTCATTGTCCAAACTGTCTGACAGACGAATAAACAATTGCTGTTGTTTTGCTTAGCTTTTTGCTGGATTGTAGCAACCGCTAATTTTTAAGACTGTTAAAATTGAGGTTAGCATGAGAGAGATGCAGCTGGTGTATTTCTTTTCTTTCTAAGAAAGGGCTGCTTCTAAACTGAAGATACTTATTCTGGAATTGTAGGAATTGCTATACTGGTTTCTATCACTAGTCATCTTGTGAGAACTTTGAAATAAGCAATTAAAGTATTACTGCTGTGAGTGTTTTATGCTGAGCCTGGTGAGACTGTCTGAAGATATCCAAGCCATCACACTTTTAAGGGTTAAAAACGTAGAGTTCAGTGTCATTGGGGATTTGTTAAACTTGAAACAGACTCGGTGGGTTGTGGCACCACGTTAGGGTGCTTGTGGAAGATGTGTTTTTGTGTGATGTTGGTGTGGGGTTTTTTTAGGCTTGGTTTTGCTTTGAGTCTCAACTTCATAGAAAGGCCTGTCCTTGGTGTAGTGCAAGAGCAGACCAGAAGTTATCTTGTAGATTTTTTTCGTCCTAGTTCTCGAGTAAACAGCCTCAAGCTTCTGACTTGCCACGTCTCTCTTCACTGTAGCCACTTATCTCCCAGCCACGTTTTAGTCATATCTTCTTTTAGAGATGTCATGATCAAAACTGCATGCAGACCAAATAATGACATAACTGATGTTTTTTCCTTTGTACCTTCAGGCTTTTTTGTTTATTTGACCATGTTGAGCAAAGGTGTTGCACTGTGTGGAAGAGTGCTCATGCCTTTTTCTCAATCCAGTACTGTGAAGTTACGATGGTGAAGTGTTTCAGAGCTGCTGGTTTGACAGGGTATCCTGTGCTAATTCTCCTTCTGGGGAGAAGTTCACCTTCAACGGTTGCTCTGAAGTTTCGAACACCAAAAGTACTGAGAAGCTAAAACTTCATCTACAGACTTAATCTTTCTCCTCTCACCAGTTCCTAATTAGTAAACAATGCTATAAGCTTCTAAACTTAGATATGATGATTGCTGTTAGTATTTTAGTCTGATGAAAATTAAGGTTTTATCCTACCCAATTAATAAATATGTGTAGTCCCTTTCTTTTGAGACAGGAGGCTTAATCCTTCTGGAAGGTGAAGCTTACACTCTGTTCTTATTCATTTTTCTTGACCCATTTGGGGTTCGAGAGGTGACATCCTTTGAAGGAGCTGCCATGTTAATTAAATCTGCCAGATGTCTTAATATTTCTTAATATCTTCTGCACCTGATAACTACAAACCAAGCCATTCTGCCAACTTATCTGATTACCTCAAATGCCTTTACGAAAAAAAGTAGAGTCTAGTTCTGACACAGCAAGTGGTGTTTAATGGGATTGTGTGGTCAGTAGCAGTCCCACCAGTTGTTTTTTGTTGCTTTGGTATTCTTTGGGGTAGTACAGTGTTGGATGCTTAAAAGTGTCTCTTCCCCTTGTCCTGTCATCCACTTTTGTGGTGCCACCATCTCAGTATTAGTCCGCTCAAAGAAAGTCTCTCCCTACCGTTGGGCAGACTAAAACTGAGAAGAATAAGAATTAAGTGCCTGAGGCTCTATTTATTACAAGAATTACCTGTTCTGCTAAATGTGTGTGACCAATCAGCTGCATGTGGCTTAGCTGTACGTGCAGAGGAGGAGAAGCAAGTGAATGCTGCTTCAGAGGCCCGAGTGAGTGTACCTAAAATGCCAATAAGTATTTTTGTCCTCTTACCTGCTTTAGAGTAGGTGTTCAGCTTCTTGAGTTTTTGATGTTTTGATACCAGTGGGCTTCACAGGATGTATGGAGAATAATTAAAATTAGTCTCTACTTGAGGTGTATCTTAGAATATACATAAGTGACAGCTCAAGTTAATGGGGACTCATTTAATTTTTGTCTTATTACTAGGGCTTCCTTTTTAAGAAAGGAAAACACGTTATCTTCCCCCTTCATCTTAAAACATAGAGAATTTGGCTTTTTTAATAATTTTTTTACACTGTCTAGAATAGCTTTTTGAAATTAGTTTTGCTTGTCCTACACATAAAGGAGTCTGTGACCTGATGTTAGTGTCCTATTTAATCTGTAGTTAACATACTGTAATAGTGGAACGTTTGTTCTTGCCACTCTGCAAAACAAAATTTCTGCAATGAATGAAGTACTACCTAATGTAACAGCAAGCAAGAAACGAAATCTTCCCTTATAAGCTTTTTATCGCTAGCTTGTTGTTACAAGATAAAATAAGTGAGTTTTAATTGTGCTTCCCTTGTGCAGTGTGCTTGACTGACGAAGATGTATCATTAGCATAATACAGTCTCACCGTTTCTGCCTCTTGGTGTTTCTTATAATGCTTAAAAATGTAGTGCAGTGAAGACCAGAAAAGGCATCTTTTTTCCTTAAGTTTATGGGTATCATAGCATTTCGTGTTGTAAACTATTTAATTCTTCCTGCTTCTAAATGTAGTGGGTGTATTGAAAAGATGTTAAAAAAACTGGGGGGGGAGGGGGGGAAGGAAATCTACAAATGAACAAAAGAGCCACAGCAAATCTAGAAAGTGAAACTGTGTATACGGGAGACTGCATCACATATGCCCTTAAATCCAGCAAAGGGAACTTTAAATGTGAGTGTTTGTGTGCACAAAATAAATCAAAATTAAATGTAACTTGTATTTATGGTTCTGATTTTTTTAGAGATGGTGGAGCCAGGACAAGATCTGTTGCTTGCTGCTTTGAGTGAGAGTGGAATCAGTCCAAATGATCTATTTGATATTGACTCTCCGGACGTGGTTCTTGCAAATCCAGCACTTTTTTTCAGCAGGTTAAAACAAGAGCATGGTTGTTGGCTAGAGGGCATGAGAGCTTGTACTTCATGTATTGTGGAGGGGGGTATGGTGTCCGTAGGAAATGATTAAAGAATATGGGGTTTTAATAAATTTCTTGCTTCATAGTGCTGAGATTAGAAAATTATTTACTCATTAATTTTTAACTTTTATACAAAAAAGCAATCTGAAATATATATAATATTGAGGACAGTGTAAACATAAATGTACTTAACTTCTAGACATTCGATGGGGGTATGCTGTCATGTATCCATGGAGAACTCCAATATTGCTGGAGTCTAGCTGGTCTCCTATAAAATGTGCAAAAAGTGTAATATAATATGGTGTTTAAGCTCCATGACAGCATTCAGTCTGCAAGAACATAACATTTCAGACATAGACCGGGAACAGTAATATGTTGAACAGTGACATCACAAAACTAATTAGGTTTTCGCCATAGTTAACTGGCAAGGTGTAGTATGTTCAGCTTTTTTGAATATGAGATCAACCACTTGATGATCTTTATTTTCAGTGAAACCTTTGTTAACGAGCATAGTTACGGACTTTCCCATTAACTTCCATTTTGTGGGTGGATATTTCTTAAGGTTTTTTTAGATTTTTTTTTTAGATATGATATTAATAAGATAAGATATATATTATTAAGATAAGCTATATCTTAAGTGTTTTTTTTCCCCCTGTTGATGTGTTTCCTGATGCTTACTTTCTTTCCTCTGCAGTCAGTGCCACTTAGTGCTTTAGAACTAGGCTTGGAGACTGAGGCCACAGCTGCTGTGAAACAAGAACCAGAGACTGTATCAACTCCAGCCTTATTAAATGTTCGGGTAAGAACTGGTACTTCAGGATTGTGTGTGTGGTGGGTTAATCTTGGCTGGACACCAGATGCCCACTAAGCTGCTCTATCAGTCCCCCTCCTCAACTGGATAAAGGGAGAGAAAAATAGGACGAAAAGGTCGTGGGTCAAAATAAGGACAGGGAGATCAGCAATTACTGTTGTGGGCAAAACAGTCTCAACTTGAGGAAATTAATTTATTGCCACTAACAATGGAGTAGGATAATGAGAAATAAGAACAAATCTAAAAACACCTTCCCCCCACCTCTCCTGTCTTTCTGTGCTCAGTTTCACTCCTGGCATCATCACAGGTTCTGTTGGCTGCTCTCTCCTCCTCGTACTCTTCCCTGCTGCAGCACCTTCTTCACAAACTTTTCTAACGTGGGTCCTTTTCACAGGCTGCAGTTCTTCATGAACTACTCCAGCATAGCCCTTTCCACGGGGCACAGTCCTTCAGGAATGATCTGCTCCAGTGTGGGTCTCCTGCATGGCCACAGGTCCTGCCAAATAACCCGTTCCAGCATGGGCTCCTCTTCACACAGTCACAGTGTCCTTCAGGCATATGTGCCTGCTCTGGCATGGGCTCCTCCACGGGCTGCAGGTGGATCTCTGCTCCACTGTGGACCTCCATGGGCTGCAGGCAGACAGTCTGCCTCACCATGGGCTGCAGGATAATCTGCTCTGGTGCCTGGAGCACCTCCTCCCCCTCCTTCTTCACTGACTTTGGTGCCTGCAGAGTTGTTTCTTTCTCATATTCTCACTCCTCTCTCCCAGTTGCTGATTGTGCAGTGTTTTTTACCCCTTCTTAAATATGTTATTACAGAGGCACTACCACCATCGCTGATTGGCTTAGTCTTGGCCAGCAGTGGATCTGTCTTGTATCTGGGTGGAACTGGCTGTATCGGATGTGGGGGAAGCTTCTGGCATCTCCTCACAGAAGCCACCCCTATAAAAAACCTTGCCACGTAAACCCTATACTGCATATTAGTAAAATGTAACAAAAGAGGTGGGACTGTAAAATGCAAGTTGACTGTTGTCTCAATTCTACTTGCGCTGAGACTGTGAAAGCTTGGCGTACCCATGGGTTGATGATTTCTGCGACAACACAAAGGAGGATAAAGCAGTATGCAGGAAAACATTCTGAGGTGTCCCATGTGCCTTTTACTTCACCTGCATGCAAATTGTGGGGGTAGGGAGGTTGTGTAAACTTGACTCCTGTACCTGAACTATGTACCACCTTTTCTAGCTGCAGATAATCGTGAGCACCACAGTCGTTGTGGCTGCTCCTGAACTGAGAATGTACCAAGCAGATCTGCAGGAAGGTGGATGTAGTGCGATGTGTCTGAGAGAGGCTGCGCGTACATTTTAAGTAATCCAAGCTATTTATTTTGGCAATTGTGCAGCTAGTTTATATATTGGAAATTCTCTTCAGCTCAGGGTTCCTGCACTTGTAGTAGACGTGTTTTGTGCCTAGGTGATGAATGCTTTGTCCTATTTTTATATTTCCTTCCCCTTACCTTAAGTAGAATTTAAAAATACCATTCAAAAATACGTATGGCAATATATTGATAGACACTTCTTGCTCAGCCTGTTGCCCACAAGATAATTACTCCAGAATCTTCAACATGTTATGTGAAGACATTTCTTAATGAGTCTTTCCTGTGCTCTAGATGAAAGGCTAACAAAGTCCGCTTTTTTTCACTGTCTTCTGAAAATTTCCCTGGTTCTTTGTTGCTAGCAACCACCGTCCACCACAACCTTTGTGCTGAATCAAATAAATCAGCTTCCAACTTTGGGGACTACAATAGTGATGACAAAAACAACACCTGTTACAACTACAAGACAGACTATCACAGTAGCAAAAATAATTCAGACCAGCACAACTACTCGACCCTCGGTTGCAGCACCAGCAGTACGCAATGCCTTGACCACTACACCTTCAAAGGACCAGATTCAGCTGAAAGATCTGCTAAAGAATAACAGTCTTAATGAACTCATGAAATTGAAGCCACCTCCTAATATTGCCCAACCAGTAGCAACAGCAGCAAGTGAGTTTTCTTCTTTCTTCATAATTACGTTATTTCAGACAAATAGTGAAGTAATATAACCTGAAGGTCTTTGCACATCTTGTATTTCCATTGATTAGTAGAATATCACAGTAAAATGAAATGATCCAGAAGACCTGATAAATTCTATTCTAATAGTGTTAGAATTCAGGGTGAAGTAATAGAAAATAAAAGGCCTTAAAGAAAATTTAAGCTTTTGATTTACTGCAAGGAATGAGAAAAATAACATTTTAGAGTGCAACTGGCAAATTGATAAAATTAATTCATGAACATTACTGAAATTGATTTAGCTGTCTTACTTGAGTCTACATCAGCTTCTGTTCTGCTGTATACTTGTGTGGAAGTATGACAAATGAGTGCTTTTGGCATCTTCCAGACTAGATTTGCAGGACATCCTAGTACTCCTACGACAGGGTGTTTCTGTAAAGTACAGAATCATGGAATGGTTTGGGTTGGAAGGGACCTCAAATATCATCCAGTTCCAACCCCCCTGCCGTGGGCAGGGACACCCTCCACTACACCAGGTTGCCCAAAGCCTCATCCAACCTGACCTTGAACACTTCTAGGGATGAGGCATCCACAGCTTCTCTGGGCAACCTGTTTCAGTGCCTCACCACTCTTTGAGTGAAAAATTTCTTCCTTATATCTAATTGAAATCTCCCCTCTTTCAGTTTAAAGCCATTGCTCCTTGTCCTATCACTACATGCCCTTGTAAAAAGTCCCTCTCCAGCTTTCCTGTAGGCCCCCTTTAAATACTGGAAGGCATCTCCTGAAAAAGAACATATCTGTCCCTGGGTATTTCATGGGAGGCATCAGTTCTGTTGTGTTTAAATACTTAAAAGTCCTAAAAACTTTTACTGTTTGCTTCCATGTTACTTCTTAAGCATGGTGTTAACTTAAATGGCACAGATATTTTGTTACCACACTCCAAATCTTCGTTTTGTCATTCCTTTTATAATCTTTGTGTGTGAGTTATTTCTAAAATGTGGACAGCTGGTCAGCTTAATAAAAGGGAAAAGCTGCAGGTGTGTGATGATTTGATTCTTTCAAGTTGTTCTGGTTTTCGTGTGAAGTTGAGGTAAGGCTAGTTGAGTTTGAAAATCTCTTTTGCAACTTTTTCTGAAAGGTACACAGGCTTTTTCTGGATTGCTGCATTTTCATTGTCTCTGAAGTAAGGTTTACTGATTTTTACAGGTGGGGTTGGAAGTAACCTGTTTTTCTCATATGCAGAGAGAGTGCACAATAAACGAAGCTGTTAGGACTGAAACAAAAAGAAAAATATGCATCCTCGTTTCATTGCTTTCTGTTATGGAGTGTTGACAAAAATTGGAGTTGAGACATCAACTCAAGTTGAGATGGGAGGTAAAGGAGTGAGGAAGAGGAGGGAGAGAAGGTTTTACAGGGCTGATTTATCCCCTTTGTACTAAACGAAAACTCACATAAGTAATAGGTAACATCAGTGCACAGTAGCTGTTGTAGTGGCACGGCTGCAGGAAATAGTTGCATCTGCAGCTCCTGTATTAAGTGAAAAAGAGACTTAACAACTTCTAGAACTGCCTTTCTAATCTTATTTGTATGCTTGTGTTTCTGGATCTTTCTTTGTGCTTATAAAAAAATACTGACAAATACTTGTAGAAAATTCAAGGGCAGAGAAGCTCTTGGAAGGAAACATGGTCTTTTCATATAATTCAGGCAGCAGGAGTTCTAGATTGGAAAATATTAAAAAGCTAAATTATGCAACCTTTCTGAGGAAAACTTTATTCCTGCAAATTGTCTTAATTGTTTTTTAAGGGCAATTATGCTAAATCTGTTACATGCATTCACTGTCAACCTGATGGAAGCTTGACAGCTGTTTTCAATGTTTTACATCTATCCTTGTGTAAATTTTTTTTAGTTCTGTACTGAGGCCTATTGCCAGTTGCTTCCAAATGTGACTGAGAACAGGAACGTTAATAAATCATCCTCTTGAAGGATCCCGTTATAAGTTTAAACATTTGAGTCCAAAGTGTTGACTTTTTGTTTTACAGAAATAATGGTAGTTTGTCCTAAGGTGGTAAATGCCACTAGGCCAGGTAAGTCTTTTCTGGTGAAACACAGGGTTTTCTGGTTTGTTAAACTTCAAAGGCACACAAGCTGGAATATTTCTAAATGCTACGTATAGATTTGATGAAGGTCCAAATTTTATTTTGTAAGTACTGAAACTAGTACACAACTGGGTCACATGCAGTGGTATTGCTTGGGAAGCTTCTTCAGTCAGAGAAGTAACAGGATTTAACTCCTTGCTCAGACTTTTTAATTTGGACAAAAATATTGTTTGCTTTCTTGATCAGTGTTCTACTGGATATTTTAAACTCTGTTCCAGCTCACTGATAGAGAAGGATGTTAATTTGCATCAATGTTTGAAAGGAATTCCTGTAAAACACAGCTTTTCTTTTGTAGCTGATCTAAGCAATGGTGCAGTGAAGAAGGAGGCTTCCACAAAAGAGGTAGCAAGAATATGGATAAATGATATTAAAATGAGAAGTTTTTCACCTACTATGGTAAGTAGCACAAATGGTTAATTTGCTAAATGAATGTGTATTTTATCAACCACAACCACCTGTGACTGTTTTCAGTAATTACTCATATATGGCTCTGGTGTGGTAGAATTATCAAGGGCATCTGTTTGTTCAAAAGGTTAGTTAGTTTCTCAACTAGATGAATACTTGGTTAGATGACTAAAACTAACAACTGTGTGGAGCAGATGACATGTAGAGTAAATGGCAATTTCAAGAAGTTACTGTCCTTAACAGAACCTCATTGTGTGGACAGAGAAGGACGTGTGCTCCAATTAAAGCTGATAAGCATATCACTTGCTCTGGATTTTAAGACATTTTCTTTTAAAATATCCCCATTCATGTAACTAGCAACGAGGAAACTAGACGGCTTTCTCTGGCATGAGTGACCTTCTGGGTGGTTTGATTTAAGATGTAAACTGAGTGTTGTTCTCTTTTCTAAATGTAATAAAAACATGTTCTGATGCTGTAAACACTTGAGTTTCAGCATCTTCACTGGTGGCTAGAAGCAGGCTGAAGTTTGATGAACAGTGCTCCGTAGTGACTGACATACAGAAGGGTTTTCAGATTACTTTTTTTATCTTAAACATTGAATTAGTAATTGTGGAAGTTTTTGATTTGCGAGCTAGTAAGTACTTTAAAAATACTCATATGTTTACATTGATCAAGATCACACTAAAAAAGGGTAACTGTCAGGTTTTGGAGAGCACTGGGATAGGATGGTGACGATTGTAACTATTCTCTGAAGTTGTGAAATTACGTAATGAATGAGAAACTGCAGGAGACTTCATGGGAAAGTTGCGTTTTGGCTGTTAAACTAGCTGTTGTGTTTTCAAGGCAGTTTAAGTCATATCTTGGATTTAAAATGCTATAAGAAATATGTGGTTTTGAGTTGTGCTTACATGAGTTTGGAGTACTTGAATCTCCTTGCAAAGGAGAGGAAGCTGCCTGACTTTGTCTTTGAAGCGTTGTTCAGAGTGTAAGAAATCTACGTTTCCATCTGTAGTTTTCACTGCTGCTCACTGGTTCCTCTAGCACATGTGTTAAAACACTCAGGTGCAAGTTTGTGCTCATTTCATTTTTCAAGTTAATTTCCAGGACACAGAGTATTAACAATGTGCAGATTGGCCAATGCAGGTATTTCTCTCTTCTAGAAAGTGCCAGCAGTAAAAGAGGAAGAGGAACCTGAGGAAGAAGACGAAGAAGAAATGGGCCATGCAGAAACTTACGCTGAGTATATGCCAATAAAATGTACGACCTGAACTTTGGTTATGTCAAAAGACTGAAATATTTTGACAGCTAATTTGTTATTTACCTTTCTGTAGTTACTAGAACAGAAAAAGAGATAGATTAATATCTCAATCAAGTGAAAAAGACCTGAGTTTGTGCTGGGTTTTCCTAGGAAATTTTTCTCTTCTGTAGCGCTTAGTTTTGGAAGGTACACAGATTCCTTTTTAATAGAAGAGGAATTCTTTAGTGTAGCTTTGAGCAGTACTTGTTTCAGAAATATGATTGATGAACCAAGATCAGGCTTTTTTTACCTGTGTTAAGATACTTTGTGCCTCAGCAGAGGAAATTTTGTAAAGGGTTTAAGTGGTCTCTGCTACACTTAAGGATCTAGTTTGAGTCTTTTGGTGTGAAATTACCCTAAGCACATTCTTTGTGTATTGTTCCTGAATGACTTTAGAGCTGTGGGTTTTTGTAGTTTGGTTGTGGTTTGGGTTTTTTTTTTTTAAAAAAAAGAATCTCTTACTGCTCTTAAATGCCATCTCCTCTTTTTCCTGCTTTCTCTTCTTTATTGTAATCAGTGACAAAAAGCTGCTATTGTGCATGGAGTTTGTAGCTAAATGGTTAATTTTTGTTATCACTGATGAGATCTGTCAGCAATTAAACCATGTCTGTTCTAAATCTTTTCTCCTCATACTGTTAAAAACAGCACTATATAAATAGTGAGAAGAATGTTGCTTTTGTGATTCTGGCATCTCGAGGCTGCCTCTAGCCTTTTGGGAAGGCAAGGTTCAGACCAGTTTTTCTCAAATATGTCAAGTACACAAATATTTTACTTTTCTATGAACTGAATTTTATCTAACTTCATAAAAATTGAGGGAAGGTGTTGAGAAGAGAAACAAAGATTGCGGTTACATAAACTCAGGTTAATGTATTCCTTTGTATGCAGTGCAGTTTAACACTTGATGTACTGTTGCGATGAAGCGTAGTTATTCTCGAGCTCAGTCTTTGCAATGGACAGTCATAATTTATTTTGGTGTATATAATAACCTGTGCTGCAGCAACAGAACTCTGTATTTATGTTTTCATCTTCTCAATTCCTCCTTCTCCTTTTTCAACCAGTAAAAATTGGTCTACGTCATCCCGATCCAGTAGTGGAAACCAGCTCGTTATCCAGTGTAACTCCTCCTGATGTGTGGTACCAGACATCAATATCAGAAGAAACAATTGATAGTGGCTGGTTGTCAGCTTTGCAACTTGAAGCAATCACTTACGCAGCCCAGGTATGCTAGACATTAGTACAGCTTAAAATCTAACATAGAATTTAAGAAGAAGAACTGTCTGACAGGTGCAGCTATGTCAGTTTTACAAGGAGATAAAATCATAAGAACTTAAAGTTTTAGGTTGCATTGGAAGGTGGCAGGTGAGCTTCAGCTCAGATGACTGTGAAGTAATACACCTAAGAAAGCTTTGTCTAAACCACTTCCCTGATGCTGATCTCAAACTGTCTTAAAATTCAGGAAGGACATCTTGGTTGTTATTTTTATTTCTCTGAAATAACTTAATGGCTGCAGTAGCAGCAGGCTAAGAAAGCCAGCACTGTTTGGCATCGTTGGGAAGGGTATAGAGGACAAAACTGGGTTTTATTTTGCTGCTATATTAAACTATAGTGGGCCAACATCAGATGTTGTGTGTGCAGCTCTCTGCTTGTCAGGGTGAAAGGTAGTGAAGTTAGAGGACAACTTGAAATGCTCACAGGAGGGATGAAATTGCCTCCTGAAGAGGGACTAACAAGGCTGAGATGCCTCAGGCTGGAGAGGAGGAGGATGAAAGGGAATAAAATCAAGGTTTACGTAATAAAGAAGGTAGTGTAATCCTACAAAACAAGAACAAAGCAGAACTTGGCGAGACTGTTAGGAGGTTGGTTTAGAATGGATAGAAGAATACATCTTTACACAGGCAGTAGGCACCTGCGTGTTGCTGCCACAAAAGGTTGTAGAGGTGTGTATCAGTGTGGTTAAAAAAAACAGCCAGTCTGGTAATAGGCACTAAAAGAATTACATGGATAAATACAGCATTTTTACAGCAATTCTAGGTGCTGAGGGGAGAACGGATCACATAAAGCAGTTCGGCTTATATGCTGTCCCTAAATAAAATCCCCTCTTCCTGCTGTTGGGAGGCTGCTTGGCTGGGTGGACCACTGGTCTCATCCAATAGGATGTTTCTTACGTTCGCTCCTTTCCAACAATCCACAGTGATGTGTTCTGGACAATGGATACAAGTTTTGTTCTCTCTCCTACAGCAACATGAAACATTCCTGCCCAATGGAGACAGAGCTGGATTCTTGATAGGTGATGGTGCTGGTGTAGGAAAAGGAAGGACCATAGCTGGAATAATCTATGAAAATTACCTGTTAGGCAGAAAAAGAGCAGTCTGGTAAGTGTGTCAGGATTTATTTAGCAAACTCTGTAGTGATTATAGTACTTAAATTCAGTGTAATTTCTCTTCTGACAAATGTTCTAGGAACAGATTTTTGAGATTCTGCTGTAACTTATGGAATATATGCTTTGTTTTGTATCTTCAGGTTTAGCGTGTCGAATGATCTGAAATACGATGCTGAGAGAGACTTGAGAGATATTGGAGCAAAAAACATACTGGTGCATTCATTAAACAAGGTGTGGAAACTTTTTACTATGTACAGTTGAGGCAAAACTTTAGGTACGCTTGTGTGACAAGTTTTGCATGTTGACTGTTTTAAGAGCAAGAATGTACTAATTTCAATAAATTTACTGTCTAGGTCTTGCTTGACAGGCCTTAATCTTACAAAGAACCACACAATGCTTTAAGTTAATCATGTGAATAGGCCCCTTGTAGGATTAAGTTTTAGCGTGTGATATTTTTCTTAAAAACATGACTCTTCAAGCAACTCCTGCTACTACTAGTGAAGTGTCTTCTAGGAGTTGAAATGTTCTTTACCTCTTTCAGACTTTGTAGCGTTTGAATTTTTTCCTTCCTATCTCCCAGCGCGCGTTTTGTATGTAATGAATTTCGTACAAAATAATTGGATAATAGACTTCCTCAGTAACTTATTAAAGCAGCAGTAGCGTCTGAAGTTATTTCTGGAGACTGTGCCTCTGCTCAAGAGTAGCCACTTACATAAATTGTGATTACTGGTTGAATTCACTGAAATGAAAGTTTGTTTTAAGTTAGTGTTTTTGCTTTGTAAAGTCTTAATTTCTAAAATACAACAAAGTTTTAGAAATTGTCATTTATGGTAGCAGCTGTAAATAAATCTGACCTTTTAGCTCTAAGGGATGCACTGGAACTAAAATCTTAATTGTATTTGAGTGAAGGAAGCCGTGTAGTCAAAGAATGTGGCTGTTAATCTTTTGAGGCTTCAGATCCAGCCCAAACCATTCCATGATTCTATGTTACATTTGAGGAAGGCCCTGTATAACCCCTTAACCATGTTACCTTATGCCCTAATCATGATGTAGGGATACAGGTGGTTCAAAGTGTGTGTGCCTTAAGGTTAAGACCACCAGCATGCCTTAATCACATGGTAGGTGGGTCTGAGGAGGAGTCTCTTTTGAATAGTTTCTGTAATTTCTTATCTCTTTATTGCAGTTCAAGTATGGGAAAATTTCTTCCAAACATAATGGAAGTGTGAAGAAAGGTGTCATCTTTGCTACCTATTCTTCTCTTATTGGTGAAAGTCAGTCTGGTGGTAAATACAAAACCAGATTAAAGCAGCTTCTTCACTGGTGTGGTGAAGACTTTGATGGAGTTGTATCCTTTATCTGGAGTTCAGTGATTGTAATCAAATAGGTGTTTAAGCTTGCATCTTTAAAGACAATCTTGTGTTTTTATATGCTGGTGTTTTTAGGTATTGCTCTTTACTCGTGACAGTAGTCGATTGTGTGTGTACTCTGACATTAGACTTGAAGTTTTACAAACTTTGTGCCAAATCTGTTAGCATCATAGTGTTGCCACGCAGCTCTGATACAGGAGTGAAGCTTCTGCTTTTTCTGTAACAAACACATAGAATTAAAATACAATGTTTAAGAACCTTAAAGTTTACACTGGAATTTTCTCCAGTGAATTTTTTTTTTTAGTATCAACACTTTAAAGAGCTCAGGTGTTAGTTATTTTCCTCTTAAGTAATTAGTAGCTAAATATTTTCCCAATTTTAGTGAAAAACATGACTAGTGTCTCTTTGAGTTTACAATTTACTGCTGCCACCTATTGTAATTAGCAGATTGTCTTGTATTCTGGTTTAGCTCCACATTCTAAAAACAAGTGGGACAAAGTTTTTTCCTTAATTACGGTGCAGATTGTATTTGATGAGTGTCATAAAGCTAAGAATCTGTGTCCTGTTGGTTCATCAAAACCAACAAAAACAGGTCTGGCTGTGTTGGAACTTCAAAATAAACTTCCAAAAGCCAGGGTTGTTTATGCTAGTGCCACAGGTATGTACTGCTTGGTTTGCATTAAATGTCTCTGGTTTTTACTGGCACCAGTACTGAGTGTGGTGTTCTTCTAGGTGCATCTGAGCCAAGAAATATGGCGTATATGAACCGTCTTGGAATATGGGGTGAAGGAACTCCATTTAGGGAATTCAGCGATTTTATTCAGGCTGTTGAAAGAAGGTAATATTTTGGAAGAGCTGTAGCAAGGACGCATATGGTTGCGATTGGCTGTGCTTTCCAGTTCCTTTGTCTTCACTTGCTCGTGGTCCCTTGCAAACTTGTCCCGTCACACTAAGAACTTTCTGACTCTGTTTCTGCTAGATTTAGAAGCTAGTTTATCTTACGTGGTGGAAAAATGGGACGTTTTCCTCACTCAGAAAGTTTGGAGAGCTTTAGAAGCTTGCTGGGAAAATAGCTCTCTTAAAATATGGGTGTTATGAAATGAAGATATTTTGCTGCTCATCATGAAAATGTACTGTATGTACCAAGTGCTCAGTAGAGTTGTTGTCTCGCTATGTGCAAAAACCCTCCAATGCTTATGCATTCAGCTTAGTTTAACAGGAAGAAGTCTTGTTCTTACGCGTTCTGGCATAAGAACCCAGTTCAGAAAAATTACATATGCTGTTGCAAGGTACTTTATATTTCAGAACTTATTAAAAAAAATTAAATGAGAGGTCAGTAGAAAATGCAACTGCTGCATTCTTTGGTAGGTGAGCATCTTAATATTTGCTTTGCCTACTTAAAAAGAATTTTCACCACTTCAGAATACTACAGTAGGGTTTAGTATGCATCTTCTTGCATAGCATCTACGTGATGCGTGATTTTTCTAGACTGTGCAAGTGTAGTCTCCACTTCATTACTGAGTACGTATCAAATGAGCAATAACGAAATTACAGGCCCAAGCTTGTGAGGAGGTTAGCTTTGCAGTTGACTTCTGTGCTCTCGAGGTATTTGCTAAAGGTGTGTTGCTGTTGGAAGGAACTTAAGTTTCCTGCTAATTTAATTATTTTCATATCAGCATAAATCTGAATAGCTTTAATACAGTTTTTATTCATTATTTTAAATCTTCAGTGGAGTGTATAAAATTGCAGTGCAAGATTTTGTTATATATTTGGACCAACTTCATTATCCAATTACAGTTTGTAAGGTACTGTCTCCTAATGCATGCTAGGCCATTCAGGAAAAAGTAAATTATTTGAGTGCTTATACTTCTTGGGATACACTTAATACTCACAAGGCAGGGATATAGCTTTATGTGAAGGCTGAATTTCAAGACTGCCTGGTGGGATGTGTTTAACCAAACAGTACTAATAATTTGGAAAACATTCCTTCACATTTGTAAGCATGCTGTTTTCTTCTAAAGCACTTGGGCATTCGGTAGGGGTTTTTCATTGGTTTTTTTTTTATAACAAATCCTTGCTCTTGAAAAATTCTCATACCGACTTAACTTGTTTCTTTATTTTAGAGGTGTTGGTGCCATGGAAATAGTTGCTATGGATATGAAGCTGAGAGGAATGTACATAGCAAGACAGTTGAGTTTTTCAGGTGTAACTTTCAAAATTGATGAAGTTCTGCTTTCACAGGAATATGTTAAAATGTACAATAAATCTGTGAAACTGGTAAGAACACCTTTTTAAATTTGCTTTCTGTATCACGTTCTGAGAGGTTGAAGTTACTTGGTTTAAACTACTTGAAATCACGTGTAGTACTGTTGCCTGTTGAGAAACAGGAATGACAGTTGTCTCATTGTAGCGTAAAGATTCCTCCATTTAAGATGTGGCAAAAGCTGTTAATTCTTGTCCTGAGTCATAAAAGCTGCAGCTTGGGGCACATCTGCCAGATCCACTGCCTTATAGCAGTACTTCAGGGCCCTTGGTCATTGTTGCCCAAGATAAAGCTGTTGGTCATGTTTTTGTGCTCCAGTCCTTCCCCTTTAGGCAACTGAGCTGAAAACAAGCTGCAAAGCATGAGACAGCCTGCGTGCACTTCTTCATCGAAACGGTGCAGTGGAGTGGTGCCTGTAGTTAAACAGGGCAGGGTGATAGTTTACTTGCCTGGCAGATCAAATCCAAAGCATCGAAGATGTGGCTCCCTTTAATGTTTTCCTTTATTCACCCACTGGTTATCTTTTTCACGTTGTTCTCATTTGTTCTGTCCGCATGCTAAGCTGAATCTCTTTTTCCTGAGTGCACATTCTGTTGGTACATTACCACTGCTGTATTAGATAAAAATAATTACTCCTTGGATATAGATTAAAATGAGCAGGGTCTTTACTTGCTTAAGAGGTGCTTAAGCATGACTCAGTGTTCATGTTGTATAGCTACAATAATTAAAAATTATCTTGGAGAGGTGTATAATATCAGCTTTAGAACAGCACTTTACTTTAAGAATATTATTTAAAACAGTCATTCAGCTTCTCTCCAAAGCTTACTTTACCTGGTCTGGAAATGACTGACATAACAAAACGTTGTCAAAACGAAGGCAGTGGGGTTTCTCTCTTTTTGATAGCTTGCTTTATACTTAATTATGGGCAGAGCACTCTGCTTTATTACTGTATTAACAGAGAAACTAGATAATTAGAAAATACTGTGTAGGTTTGCATTGGCAGTAATGTAATTGTATCTGCTTTTTGTTATCAGAGTAATTGTCTTCTGAATTTACTAAGCCATAACTGTTTTCTTTTTTTGTGAGCTTTGTTGTTTGCATGACTAGTTTCCTGGCCTTGGAGTCCCATAGTACTGTAACTTTAAACTTCTCTTCTATTTGGATATTAAACAATGTACCTGTGTAACCTTGAAATGTGATGTGTAAAGCAATTAACATTTTCTTCTTCAGTGGGTCAGTGCTAGAGAGAGGTTTCAACAAGCGGCCGATCTGATTGATGCAGAACAACGAATGAAAAAGTCTATGTGGGGTCAGTTTTGGTCAGCTCATCAGAGGTTTTTCAAGTACCTTTGCATAGCATCTAAAGTGAAGAGGGTGGTGCAGCTAGCTCGGGAAGAAATCAAGAATGGGAAAGTAAGTTGATCAAGACCTGTTTTTAAATATCTTTGTTATATGTAAAGCTATTACGTTTTGTTGTTGTTTATAACATATTTTCAGATGTAGTAGTAGCATGCTTTTGTACTTGATGGTGTTGAAGTTGTTTAACGAGCAGAACTCCAGGTGAAAATAAACTTACAAGTCAGTTTTCTTAGTGACAGTGCCTTGTATTCATTTGTCCTTTAGTGTGTTGTTATTGGCCTGCAGTCAACAGGAGAAGCAAGAACATTAGAAGCTTTGGAGGAAGGTGGTGGTGAACTGAATGACTTTGTTTCTACGGCGAAGTAAGACTGAAGTTTTAGAACTGTCCTTGACAAAACTAACCTTAATTCAGCTTAGTGCGCGTAGAAACTTATCCTTTTGTGTGTAAAACATGTATGAGTGCACAGAAAGTTGGGTGTCCTTTAGTACCAATATTCTTTCCTTAAGCTGCCTGTACATAAAATGTGGCAGCATTGCTGAAAGGAGCATTGGTTAGTTCCTTGTTCTTCTGGCACTCTGTGAGATGATGTTTTCAGTTGTGAACAGCTGGTACTGTTTTACTCAAACTGGGAGGAGGGGAACACTTGCCAAGTGTACACTGCATTTATACCAGAGCAAGTTACAGTTACGACTTCCCTCTTTTATTAGATGAGCCAGATCGAATCCTGAGACTACCTTGCTGAAGACCTTAATAAATTAAGTTAATCTGTCATTTGAACTTTGAGAAGTAAGATAGCAGGAATACCACTTGATACCAAAACCAAATTTGGCAAGTTATAAGTAACAGTGCTGTAAAGTAAATGTCTCCTATTTTTAAGAAGGTGACGAATACAGTAATATAAGTGATAATTGTACAGGGTGCTGTGTAATTGCATTCACAAGGAGTAATTCTTCAGAGAAGTCAAGAAAGCTGTTAAAATGTTACAGGTTTCTGCTTTAAATAAATGCAAATTTGACTGAAGAACCCTTTTTTCTTAAACAGAGGAGTATTCCAGTCTCTTATTGAAAAGCACTTTCCAGCTCCTGACAGGAAGAAGCTGTTTAGCTTGTTGGGAATTGACTTGACTGCTCAAAGTAATAACAATTCACCCAGAGACAGCCCTTGCAAGGAGAACAAAATAAAGAAACGGAAAGGTAATGCTGAAGTTCTTACACTAATGCCGTAGTGAAAATGGCAGTTTTGGAGCTGCCTAAGGGTGAACTCTAGAAAAAAATACAGGAATATAAATATCAGTATGATCATTCATGAAAGAGCACGTCTCACAAGTCTCTAAGACTTCTGTTAGAAATTTCCATTAGTAGATATAACCTGTAAATTCTGGTTACTTCTTTGGTCAAAACAGATTGATCTCCTATGGGACCATATCCCAAAATGTCTTGCATGTGTCAGAGCACTTCCTGATGCAGTCAAGCAAACAATTGCTTTCTTTTTCTTAAGGCTCAGTAAAGAGCAGCCTAATACCACTTCCTTTCCCAAACTGATTATATTCTTTCTGAAAAGTAGGTGATCATTAAAATATTGAGAGCAGAGTCTTACTAAAAATGTAGATTAAATTCTTCTAAACGGTTCTGGTTTTAAAAGCTGAATATTTTCCACTTTGTATGCAGTGGTGGTAAAACAAACCTCAGAAGTAGACTACAAGATCTAAACTAACTTTTTTTTTTTTCTGGGGTGATGGAATTAGGTGAAGAAATAAGCAGAGAAGCCAAAAAAGCTCGCAAAACAGGTGGCCTTGCAGGTAGCAGCTCTGATGAGAGTGAAAGTGAGTCTGATGCTTCGGACCATGAAGAAAGTGACAATGAGAGCTCCAGATTTTTGAGTTCTGGAGATGATGACGACTTCAATCCATTCAGAGATGAATCCAGTGAAGATGATGAAGATGGTAAGACAGTTAAGTGTGTTGTCAAGCCAGTAGCTGAATTTGCAGATAGTAAGCATAAGGTCTTTCCTAACCATTTCAGTGAGCAAAAATAAGAGTGTTTGATAAGCATGTAGTTTAATTCTGGTAAGACTGGAATTAGTACTAGAATGTTGATTTGTATCTTCTTTAAGTAGATTTTGCACACCGAAGTTCAGACTTGTGTAAGTCACCTCTTGTAATGATAATGTTTTTCAAAGCAAAGGATGGCTTTTTAGTAAATGCTTGAAACTTTTTTTTAATCTTATTTAACTTTAGATCCCTGGTTAATTAGAAAAGAGCATAAGAAAAATAAAGACAAGAAAAAGAAGAAAAGTATAGACCCAGATTCTATTCAAAGTGCCTTACTAGCTTCTGGTCTTGGATCAAAACGACCTAGCTGTTTTACTTCCACTGTTGGTACTACCACTTCTAGTACAAACACGTCAGGTAAGAGTAAGTTTTTTTTGGCATTTGTTCACTTTCTTAAAAATTAGGCAGTGAAATTCTAAATCTTAAAGAGTCTCTCTTAAATTTCAGCAAACAGTAACACAAATAGCAGCTTTGTAACAAGTCAGGATGCTGTTGAAAGGGCCCAGCAAATGAAAAAAGAACTGCTTGATAAACTGGAAAAGCTGGCTGAAGATCTTCCACCTAATACGCTGGATGAGCTTATAGATGAACTGGGTGGTCCTGAAAATGTTGCAGAGGTAGGCCGATGTTCACATTAGAAAAAAAAAATTTCTTTCTAGTGCAGCTGAACATTATCTGTCTGGCTGCAGTAAATTAATATTGTCACTCTTCAAGGTTGCATGTGACCTAAGTATCTATTAAAGAATTTGTTTATCAGTTTTAGACAGTAATCTCACAGCGCTAAGTATACAGGCTACTCTTGCTGAATGCCTCTGATTTAAAGAGAAACTGGAAGACTGTGTTAGAACACAGAAAAGAGCTCTGAATTGGTAAATGGGTTATTTCTGAAACTGGTAGTTGCTTGTTGGGTAAAAATCATACTAGTTTTTCTTTATAGTGATGTATTTCTCTAACTAGCTGTAATCAATTTGAAGCTGATGTATATGAAGCAGGGAAGCAGCTGTAGTTCATCTTCCCAGGCAACGAACATTAATGCAGTTTTACTATACAGGTTCTTAGTGAAAAGCCTGATGAATTATTATCTCTTTCTCAATTACTTCAGAAACATGTCTTTAAGTTACCTGTCTCTATCAAGTAGAAACATCATTGTGATTTAAAAGACCCTGTTAAAATCAGTGACAACCTCAGCTGTCAGTCTGTGTTCTCAGTACTCTTGGTAAATCCCTTGTGGACAGCAGTATAATACTACGTTGTTTCTACATCGATGTGCTTTGTTAACGCCTTTCATTCCGTGAGTTACTTCTAAATAAGTGTTCCAGGTTGCAGATAATGGCATCAACCAAAAATAATTCAGGTTCCCTAATGTAGTTTTGCACTTGGAGAAAATTACTGAATCTGTTTTAAGGTTGGTGTATGAATAAATAGCATCGTTGCTGGAAGGTTTTGGTCATGTAATAATTTTGGTGTTGCCATAATGAGCTTGTATTCTCCTTTATTTTCGAAGATGACAGGCCGCAAAGGGAGAGTTGTAAGCAACGATGATGGCAGCATATCTTACGAGTCAAGATCCGAACTCGATGTGCCTGTGGAAATTCTGAACATCACAGAAAAGCAGAGGTTCATGGATGGAGATAAGGTAGTCCTTAAAGAGATAGAATTTAGAAAAACTTGCCAGATGCCATAGTAACACTGACAAAGTTGATCAAGTTGTGGTTCTACAGTTACCCCACAGAGACTTTTCAGGTACTATAAGTACTAGTTAGGAAGTGTTTTCTGTTCACTGCTGTGTTTTGTTTTTCAAACCAGTATGTTCAGTAATCCCGTTTAATATGTGGCTGCAACATGCTTTGAAGGTCAGGCTGTAGTTTGAGTTGCCACGGAGGCCTGTGCTGAAGAGGTGTGTAGATGCGTGCAGAGCTGAACGCTACCACTTTTAAGCTGGTCTTGTAAAACAGCGTGTGTTTAAAAGGCAGATAGAGGAAGCAAGGATGTGGAGGGTTTATCTGGATTACTGTGTGCCTCCACTGGCAAGAGGAAATAATGAAATTGAGAAACAGGGAGAACCACGGACTGATTCGGTATGAAAAAAGTTTCAGTGAGCAGCTGAAGAAGAAAGGTGGAGGTTGTTTACCTTAACAAGGGTTGAGAAGTAATGCTGGGAAGAGTGACAGCTTTTGTCCTTTACCTTGCACTCTTAAAGAAAATACTGACTGGGGGAGGGATGACCCAGAACGGTTTCTTGTGGTTCATTGGGGACATGCTGCCACAAGAGGGCAAATCAAGCCAGTGTAGCTGTTGCGTGGAACTTCCCGGGTCTGTTGTTACACTTCAGAGTAGATACTCATGTTCCTGTAAATGACTTGCACGCAGTCCAAACATTTACATTCTTTCAAGGCAAATGCATTCAGATACTAGAATGGCCATATCCTTTTCCTTATACAGTCTTAGCAGCCATTTTGTCTTCTCTGTATTGCTTACTGTCAGAGCAAGTCTCCCTGCGTCCCTCCGTTTTTCTTCCTGAAGTGCAGCCCAACATCATAGAAACTTGCCCTTTGGAACAGCAGGACTGCACCGTGCTGCCTTTCTTCATTTGCACAGAAAGGTGTTGCTAAAAATCAAAGCAAAAACCTGTCCTTTCATCAAAAAACCTGTTAGCGTTTCTAACTCTGATAAAAAGAACCATGATTTTTCTCTCCTCTCTGTTGATTGCAATAGGAATGCCAAATAACAGTGAAGCCATTTCAGACCTATGTTAGTAGTAATTGTAAAATTCAATTTTTTAAAAAAACTGAAGCTTGATCTTGTATTTATTGCTAACTAACAACTCCTTTTTTATTAAAAGAACATTGCCATAATCTCAGAGGCTGCCAGCTCTGGTATATCATTGCAAGCAGACCGCAGAGCTAAGAATCAGAGACGGAGAGTTCACATGACTCTGGAGTTGCCATGGAGTGCAGATAGAGCAATACAGCAGTTTGGTAAATAACTTTTTTGTGTCTTTCCCCTCAGTAATACTCACTAAATTTACTGATAATTCATAGGAAATAAGATTGACTAAGCAACCTCTTAAGGACCCTTCCAATCTCCTTTACTCATGAACTGAATCAGCTTTATCTATAATAGCCTTGAAAGTTTTGAAAGAAACCTAGGAAAGAAACCGGCACTGCAGCTTAGGATTTTTTCAGGTATTGAGTGTCTTTGAGAGTTGCCATAACTGTGGAGTGTTTGCGTACTCCCTTCTATTGGCTGTATTACAGCAGAAACTAATTTTCAGCTGGATTAAGTTCTAGGGTTTTTCTTTACTCTTAACAATTTGTAGTTTATTAGAAATGTTCGATGAAGCGGAATTTATTTCACATATGTGCTTCTACTTAATTATCCAGGAAGAACTCATAGATCCAACCAAGTGACTGCTCCAGAGTACGTGTTCCTAATTTCGGAATTGGCAGGAGAGCAAAGATTTGCATCTATAGTTGCAAAAAGACTGGAGAGCTTGGTAAGACTGTTTCAATAAGTCTGATTCTTCATTTGAGAAAATACAACTTAGATTTCTTCTTCTTCAAATTTGATTTAATTACAAAGGTGTGTCTTAACAGGGAGCCCTCACCCATGGCGACAGACGGGCTACAGAAACTCGAGACCTCAGCAGATTCAATTTTGACAACAAGGTGATGGTTCTATTTCTGTCTGAAAGCTCATGCCGTGGTGCTTATTCCACAAATGACCTGTTGAAGGATTTCGTCCATCTCCTGTGAAGTGTTTGAACTGTATTACTTTCTGTTAGGAGGCCTCTTTTTGAGATAGCCAGAAAACATTCTTAATTCTGTTTGTAAAGCCATGTGGAACACAAATATGTGTGTAAATTACTTTCTGCATTTGTTTACAATCCAAGTCTTTGAGTAAATGGTATATGTCCTTTCAGTCACAACTGAAAGATTAATTTGGCAAGTCTAATTAGAAATTAAGACTCTGCTGTTTATATAGTGTAGTTTAGAATTAAAAAGCTAATAACCAGTTCCTGTTACTGTTGTAGAGAAAAATGTTTTATTGTGAATTACAAATGCTTGCTAAACCACGGGTGCGTGGGGCTGAGGCACAAATCACTTTGTTAGAGCAACTTTCTCTTTCGTACGCAGTATGGCAGAAATGCTTTAGAGATTGTTATGAAATCCATTGTGAACTTGGACTCCCCAATGGTCTCACCTCCTCCTGATTTTCCTGGAGACTTCTTCAAAGGTAAGTGTAACTGACTGAGTGTAATAGTTGCCTTTTGTGGAAAATGCAGATAATTTGAGAGCTAGAAAACATTGTTATTTAAACCGATCTGCTGGCCCAGGTAGGCTCTCATGGGGTGTCACTCCTGTGTATGTTGCTTGAATGTTGAAATTGATGTATGAAACAAGAGATGTGAACTCTCTCAATACAAGGCATGTCCTGTATCTGTTTTGCCAAAGTATTACATAGTTATTTAACTTCATTTTCCTGTTATCTGATGCGAAATCATCTTCTTCCCTGGGCTCATGTATAGCGTTATTAGCAGCTTTCCCTGCTGGTGCTTCCAGGGAAGAAGGCAAAATTCCTTCTGTCTTGCATATTGATGTATTGGGTAGAAATTGCAAGTAATTTATTTGAGGGGTGTCTGAAGTTTTGAAACTTGTTCCTGAAACAAGATGGCTAAACAAGCTGTTCCTTCATTAGTGTATTTTTAGATGGCAGAGCAGCTATGATTTAACTTGTTTCTGTTTCCTAGATGTTCGTCAGGGATTGATTGGCGTAGGCTTGATAAATGTAGAAGACAGATCTGGAATACTAACGCTTGATAAAGGTATTTGTGTGTTTAGTGTATCTTTAGAATGTCGCTAGGAATACTCTATATCATGATAGTGGATTCCTAGCAACAGAACTGAAGCTGTAACTATCTAAAAAGTGACCTTTTTTTGATAACTTCAGAATGTTGTCCTCATTTCTGAAAGAATTGATTTAAGTAGTCTTTTTGAGACTCTTTGAATACCAGTTGAGAGCTTGTCGTTATCAAACTTAATCTTTGTTGACCTAATACATGTATTTCTTATTCTTTTTTAAGATTATAACAATATAGGGAAATTTCTGAATAGAATTCTGGGCATGGAAGTACATCAGCAGAATGCTTTATTCCAGTACTTTTCTGACACGTTAAATGCAGTTATTCAAAATGCTAAAAAGAATGGAAGATACGATATGGGCATCTTAGGTGAGTAAATCAATTTCTCAGTGCTCTTGTAGTTAAGTAAGAAGAAAGGAACAGAATAACTCTCTCCTTTCCTCTTAAGATTTGGGATCTGGAGATGAGAAAGTAAGGAAGGCAGACGTTAAGAAGTTTTTAACTCCCGGATATTCTACCTCTGGACATGTAGAACTATACACAGTAAGTTAATTCTGTATCTTCTTTGTATGAACTAATAAAACTTGCTTGCTGGTAAGTTTTTAAAACATGGCAATTGGCTAAGCATCTGCTGAGTGGAGGGAGGTTCCAGGCCTTTCACTGGGCAATATTTGGCTCTGTGGTTGTTTAGTTCCTGTGTCTGTAACTGTTCTAAAGCCTGTTCCCAAATACCCTGCGTGGCTGTCTTCCAGATCAGTGTAGAGAGAGGAATGTCTTGGGACGAAGCAACTAAGATCTGGGCAGAACAGACGGGTCCAGATGATGGATTTTATTTATCATTACAGGTAACATTCTTTGTCTCTTGGATTATGTTCAGAGTTTTTTGGGAGCTAACCAAATATGCTATCTCCTCTGAAAAATTTACTGTTCAAATTAATTACTGTTCAGTTTTGCAAAATACTTTCAGTCTTACCTTAAAATTCATGTTAAGTTTGCCTCCAGCAGTAGGTATGAAGCACTCCTTTTTAGCTGCTCAGGATATTTTCTGATAGGAATGTGAGCCCAAATTAATAGCTCTTATTTAAACCTTGTCATGGTTTAACCCAGCTGGCCACTAAACACCCCACCCCCAGGGGATGGGGAAGAAAATTGAAGGAGACTTGTTGGTTGAGATAAGAACAATTTAAATAAAATAAATTTAAAAGCAATAATAATAAAATAATTTAAAATTTCTAATAATATATGGTAATATAAAATGATAATAATACATACAGACAAGCAATGTATCGTGTAATTGCTCGCTGCCCTCTTGACCAAAGCCTGACCTGTCCGGGCTACTGATCCTGAAACAGAAATCCCAAAACTGTGGTCTCAGAAGAGCAAGAGCCCTGAAGGGAGCAAGATTCCTGGCCAGCCCTCTTCTATGTACTGAGCATGATGTTTCATGATATGGAATGTTCCATTGGCCAGTTTGGGCCTCAGTCCTAAAGCTAAGCTGAAATCCTAGATAAGGAGTTGTGGGTCCTTTGCTCCTGCTGTGATCCCTCCCAGCTGCTTGTGTACCTGCGCACTGGCGAAACATGGGAAGTTGAGAAAGTCCTTGATGTCTTAGCAACAGCTATAAACATCAGCATGTTATCAACATTCTTCTCATTCCAAATCCCATCATAAATCCAAAACACAGTGTTACTGTAGCTACTAAGAAGAAAACTAACTATCCCAGCTGAAACCAAGACGAACCTGCATCAAGAAAACAGATGCTTTCGCTGTGGAAACAGTTGGGAAGTTGATGTGGATTAGTGGTGCTGTCTTCTGAAGGTGTCCTCGTTGTTAGTGGCTGTCTTATTGCACACACACTCGCACTCTTCTCTGGAAAGACCACAGTATGGAATCACTCAAGGTAGATACTGTCAGCATGTTTAAACTTAGGAAATTTTTGGTTTGTCTTTCCTTTCCAGATAAGAAATAACAAGAAAACTGCTATTCTAGTAAAAGAAGTTAATCCTAAAAAGAAGCTTTTTTTAGTATACAGACCAAATACTGGGAAACAACTCAAACTAGAAACATGTGCGGACCTGAAAAAGAAATATAAGAAGGTAACCATTAAAATCATGCTAGTTTTAAACTTTTTTTTAAAAAAAAAGAAAATAAGTATAAGGACTTTCTTTTTCTGGTATTTGTGTATAATTTTGACAAGTGAAAAACTAGGCTTATTTTTTCTGAGTGGAGTTTGTATTTGGGTCTTTTTAAGCAGATCTGCGTGGTTTTTGCATTCCTATATCTGAAGCTTTCTGGATACAAATTATCTGTGACATGATGATATAAAATGAGATTATTTTTTTTTAGGGTCTAGCAAGGAAAAGTCTTGGTTCTGTGTAAGGAGTACAAACATGTTCATAAGTAAACATCTGTGTACAGTGTATTTTAAGCAATGATGCTGAAGCTTCAGCTGTTTGCTGATGACCTTTTAAACAGTGTAGTTGATAATTTTGTTCAGAGGCTGGTAAGATACCTCTCAAACAATTTTGGTGTTTAATTTGACACCTCTCTTAAACAGTTTTAGTGTTGAATTTGTAAAAACTTGAGGAAACAGAGAATCAGGTTGATTATTGGAAAAGCTCTGAGGTTCTGCCATCCTCCTTCCTGAGATTCAAGCATTTTGCTCATCCTTTGAGATGGCATTTCCGTTGAATAGCTTGAAATTAGAGGATAATGAACCTCTCTCTAACCATCAGAATGTTGGTGCTCCCTCTTTTCTCATAGTAATGACCAAATTGTTTTTGTTCTATGCAAGTCTTGATGTGTTTTACTTTAGTCTCACTTGGAATGACTTTTCTAGGTACCTTCTGAAGATGCTCTGCCACACTGGTTAGAGCAGTACAATTCTTCTGCGGATACCTGCACCCATGCTTACTGGTTAGTATTGGTATGCACGTAGATCCTTTAACTGAAACTATTTACCTAAACTGATGTATTGCTGCTTCTGTTACTCATGTGAGATCTTGTGTTTCTTAAGAAAAATTGTCCTATGATGAGTCAAATGACCCAACTTTTGAGTGGAAATGTGAAGCTTTGCACTTGCCCTTGAAGTCCTAATACATCAGATGGATGCTAATGTATAAATTGCACCCCAGTAGAAGTGTGGTGACCCAGGAGTAGTTTATGCTTTAAGTGTCTGGATCTGATCTATTACTGTGGTAGCATAGTTCAAATGTTATTTGGAGGGGTGGGAAATACTTACACTCCACATAAAGATGAAATAGATGTTAGAAACAGCTGTTTTGTGGTTCCCCTTTAAGCGTCTGAGCTCAGCAGCTGATGTCTTAATTTGTGAGGAACAGCATGAATAGTGGAAGTTTCAGATTAATACATTGATCAGATACCAGTCTCACATGTAACACATTCTGGTTCTCAGGTGGTCTAAATGAGTGATATCTTCGACTTAAAGCTCTGTCTGTACATTTTGAAGATGTGGTCCTAAATAGGCCAACACTTCTCAAAGCTTTACCATTAGAGACATGCTGTGGATAAAATATCCTCCCCTTACTGTATACTGGCAGCCCTCGCTCAACTCTGAATACACGTTAAATAACTTCAAGCCTCGTTTTTAATTGAATTGGATACTTTGAGTTTGCAGAATTCTCTTGAAAGCTTTTTTTTTTTCTTCCTGCTGCAGGAGAGGCAATTGTAAGAAGGCAGGCTTGGGCTTAGTTTGTGAAGTGGGACTGCGCTGTCGAACTTACTATGTCTTGTGTGGTTCAGTATTGAGCGTCTGGACAAAAGTAGAAGGCGTTCTAGCCTCTGTGAGTGGTACAAATGTGAAAATGCAAATAGTTCGTCTAAGAACAGAAGATGGGCAGAGGATCGTAGGTAAGTGGCTTGTCTGCTCTTTTATTTCCATCTGGAAGTAGAAGGTAGTTTTAACTTACAGGTCAGTCCATGTTGCGAGTCATGTAGGAGACTTAATGAAGATGTTTACAAGAGAAAGGGCTTGTCAGTATGTGTGCTGGGGAGGAGCAGAAGTACAGCTGTTTAAAACTGTGTTTGTAGTACAAATACTGGTCTGAGTCAGGTTAAAGGAGGAAGAAATTTTTTTTTTCAGCCGGGCTTTGGGAACACTTATTCTCTCAGTTCTTTTGATTTGCTAGGAGCAAAAACATCACATTCAGCCTACTCCAGCCAAGCTACCCTTGAAACCATAAGGGCTCCACTTTTTTCCCCACTTCTGACAAACGATAAGCCCTTGAAATAGTTGTTTTTGTGGGTTTTGAGTGACTGAAAGTCACATGTAATCAGTAGTTTAGAATGACTTCAAGATGATTATGTCATTTCTTGTTGCTAAACCTCTTAGTGAAGCCCTCATAGCAGGTACGTCAGAGGCTGAAATCTCCATATTTTGCTTAAACGTGGACTTCCTGCGGATATGTGCTGCTATGGCAGCTCCTACTCTGTAACAGTTTTCTAAGATGTTTAAACTTTCATGATGGTGCAACTTCTGTGAGACTGGAAAAGCAAAAATAGCTGACTTCTCGTTTTATGTGGCAGCAGGTAACATGAGAATAAAATTTGTCTTCAGGGGCAAAATGGCAACTTCTTTCTACTGCTTCGTGACCTAAAGGATCTAGTGACTTAGGAAGAAGCAGAAGTTTTAGCTGTGCTTGATTAGACTTCACCTTGGAAACAGTCACTGTTTGACTGTGGCATAAATTAAATGGTGAAATCATCAGCCTGGGGTTTCAATGAGCAAATTGTTTGCATGCTTATAAAACAATTGATCTGTTGCTGTTTTCAGGTTTGATCATTCCTGCAAATTGTGTGTCGCCCCTTGTAAACCTCCTGTCAACGTCAGACCAGTCTCAGCAGCTTGCAGTACAACAGCAGCAGATCTGGCAGCAGCATCACCCACAAAGCATCACCAATTTCAACAATGCATAAGAGGACAAACTACAGGTGTTGACTTTGGTGTTTGAGGAAAAGGCTGTAAAAGCATATCACTTGCATAAAAATCAGGGACAGATTCCAAAGAAATATAACTTTTTCAGTTCAGTTGTGTGCTCTCAAATACTTTGGGAATAAAGAGATCTAAAAAGGTTGGTAGAACTGAAAGCCAGCAGTTGTTCATGGTGGTGCATCTGTCTTTCCTTATGCTCTCTGTAGTGCTTCCTGTTTGCTTTTACTTTTGGCCTTTTAAGCTACAAACCACAATTTGTTTGAAAATGCTTGAAAATCCCCAAGCAGGCTTTATTTTTATCTTGTCATACAGTGCTCAGGGTTTAACGCAGTGCATCAATGCCATTGCTGTGGGAGATATCCTTGAATGCATGTATTGAGTATAAATATAGAAAACATATATTGGGTTTTTCTCTTCAATTTTTGAGTTTATAAAAGCATGAAACTTAGAGGTTGCACATCATGCATTCAAGTTCCTTCCCAGTTTCTGTTGGACAGTGCATGTCTTTGGAAACGGGCATGGACAGGATAAACACACAAGACAGAAATTCAGAGAGAAACACAATCTTAGTTGTACAGCATTGGTTATTGCATTTTTATAGTGTTTATACCCAGGTGTTGCATTTTTTCTGGTTCTCTCCTGGGGGTTATATATTTGAGTCTACAACATGTTCTTTTTGTGATAAACATCTTAAATTAAAATTAGTTCATTTTTAATGTATTAATGGTATTCCTAACGTGTACTGCAAAGGTGGCTGGATGCCTGTTTTCCTTAAATTGAAGCATTTCCTTAATCCGAGGTGGTTATGGAAACGTAAGTGCAAATTCACTTCCATCTTCACTTCCATCTCGCATACAATCTTATATTTTTTACTTCATTAATGTAATTTAATTTGTCACTTGTAAGATGAAACCTTACTTGAGCTGTAAATTAGAGAATGGGAAACACTTGAGGGTTCCGCTGTATGTGCTGTTTCTGTTACCCAGTAACTTGAATACTGTTTAATATGTTGTAAGACATTGTAGAGTTTATCTGGAGCTGTTTAAAAGAAATTGTAATGTACAAATGTGAATAGTCACTTATCTATAATATGGGTAAGTTTTGTTTTGCCTATAATAGTAGATGTTTATAAGAAAGTGAAGGACAATGTTTGTCATTTCTTGCTTGCACAGGTTGCACTATTGAAAAATTGAGATTGTATAAACCTGTCCAAAAAAACTACAAGATAATGATCTTGTAGATGTCAAATAAAAGTTATTGTACTAACAAGAAGTGGAGTCTTGTTTAGGCAATCACCGTATTCCAAAAAAAACTAACAAGTCTGTACAATTGGAATTCGACAGGACTTGGCATGTTCCAGTCTGCTTTAACCAGGCTTCTGTCTTGCAGTCCAGCGATTTCGGTTGAGCTCAGTAATGAGGCAAGAAGTCAACTGTGTTTAAACCTTGACACATGTTTTCAGTAAGGTTCACCCGACAGAGCAGCAATCCACTGTGGCCTCTGTCACTTCTGAAAACACTCGGTGAGCCAAGATTCAAGTGCCATAAAAGACTTTTTCCATAAGTAACGGGGCCAGAAGTTCCACACCTTCAGGCTGCAGTGAGTTCCCGTGTGTGGATAATTTCTCTTGAGGTTCAGTTAACGCTGCCTGTGCCAGCACCTCGCTGTGGTTATAGAGCACCTGCTTGTCGGGGGAGGACGTCTGCCTGCTTTCCCCAGCTCCCAGTCCGAAGTGGTCAAGGGATGCATCCCCTGCACACGCTTGTGACTAACTAGAAATACAGATCTAAAAAAATGGCATGCTCCCTGTTGCCCTAGGGCCTGCCCCGCCTCTGAAGTCCTTGTAACGTAAGTGGTAGGTGTTCTGGAGTTTTTTAGTCCTCTGATAGTAAAGGGAAGCTTGCCTTAGTGCTGGGAGACCACTAAGAGCTGATTATGCCCTGGAAAACTAGACCACAGGCAGGGTGTGGGGGTGGGCGTTCATGTGTTTCACACCCACCGTTGGATGGCATCCATTCCTGGGAAAGGAATGGGATTTTGAGAAGTATGTTGACAGATTACTGTTGCAACAGATAGTGAACCAAACAGCTAGTAACACAAAGCTGTGTGTGGACTTCACTGTCTTTTTGTAATTATTATTGTTTGGTGTAGAAACTTCTGCCATCTGAGATGGTAAAGTGATATTTTAGATCTTAATCGTCAGATGGTTCTAGAAGTTCACAAACAGTGATTTAATTTATTTTTTATAAACAAGTCATTATTTAAATACACTTCAGTTCCTAAGCGCTCTTCTCAGCTTGTGCTAACGTTGGTTATTGGGATGAGCAAATATTGAATTGGATTTTCTCTATATTGTTAACCAAACCATGCTACTTTACTTCAGGATTTTATAGCATATCCTGTTCCCTCACACCCTCTTAAACTTCCCATAGACTTGTGTTCCCTGGAGGAAAAAAAAAATGGCAGTACTTCTACTTAAAGATCCATAAAAACTGTTCCCATTCCAGAAATCCTTTCCCCTACTTGCTTTCCTTTTGCCTGTTCTCTGCTACTTGCCTCCATCAATGCCTTGGCTTTGGCATTCAGTCACTAACACTTCTGCATCCACAGTTCTGGAATGTTCTAACACCTTAAAGGTTAACATAAAAAAAAAAAAAAATTAGCCTTCAAGCTCCAGAAGCATTTACTTTCTTGAAAATTCCTGCTCGGTGGTTGGGGTGTGGTTTTTTGGTAGTAGTTCATTCCTTGCAGGAGCTGCTGATAAGACTTGAGGGAGAAAAGGAATATAAATAGCACGGTGGATGGGATAAGGAGCAGCTCCGCGGCATCTTCTTGCAGCACTGCCCGTAAGCCAAACATCCTCCCAGGGAGAGAAAAGGAGAGACCGAGTGTCATGTCACATACATTACCAGGCTGGGCAAGAATGGTCTCCGTGGTTTTCCTACTGGTGGGTCGTTGATCTGTTTCGTACAAATCACCATCTGAATGGGAGATAAAATTTGTAAAGAAGAGATCTCTGATAACAGGAGCAAAGCCCAAAGTAAGCCAGTAGTAATTTCCTGGTAGTGATTTCTGTACTGCGTGACTTTTGGAAGCATGCTGCAGAAGGGGAAGAGACATATTTAAGCCGACTTGGGAACTGAAGGGATAAAATCTTGAGTTTTCTTTTTTAAACTGTCCCTTGACAGCAACTAAATTTTGACTTGTTAACTAGTTTCATACTTAAGATATGCCTGTAAATGCAATTATAACCCACTAAAAACCCCCCTCTGCACAGCAAGTTTTCAATTTTTTTTTTTAATTGCTGTATGGTCCGTTGGGAACATACCTCTTGTAAGGACTTCGAGCTCCCCAAAGTCAGCGTGTAGTATTTTCTTTGTAAATGAAGAAAGCTCTGCAACCTGTGAATGTTTGTCAAGTGAATTATCAAGGGTTTTTTGTATTTTTCTTTTGAGTTTGGAATAAGCTTCATTCAGATCCCACTGCAGTCTGTACATATCTAGAAAGAGTTATGTATGTATATAGAGATGTTAAAGGCTACTGAATTATTGAATGTAAATAACTCTTGTTTTCCTTTGTGGTTTTTTTTTCCTCGTGACCTTCCCAAGATGTATTCCTATTTTCTCAACCTGCCAAACAGGCAGTTTGTGTGTACTTTGAAATATATATAGCATATATAAAACTTCCAAGGGATGTCTGCGTACATTGTAGATGTTTTATGTTGTCATCATTTTTTTCAAAACTATCAATTGTCTGTCTTCCATGATCCTTTTGATGCTGTGTGGTTTTATTCTATATTTTTAGTGTATAATGTATTTTCTTGAGAGAAATTGATTCCTGATGTCTTTCAGTGACTCACTTCTTAGTGCCTGTATCAGAGAGAAACAAATATTTGAATTTTCATGTAGTTTGTTTTCTTTACTCTTTTCAGTGTTTCAGATCTTGAGCTTTAATCCTAGATACGTTTCCATTTTCTTCCACTTATTAGTATTTCAAGTTGTGCAGTGAGCTCCTGCGAGTTCTAGAATTAAATGCATCAGCAATAGAGCCTGCCCACTGTCCTAACATGTAAAAGTATGATGGCTGCATTCATATTAAATGTTAACTGTCTTAAAAGCACTCTTTCTAGAGTAATTAGAGAGTAGTTAAGATGCATCTATTTTGGAGTATTTCCTGGGAAAGTTTTGAGCTTCATGTAATGTCTAAATGTGCAAAACAGAGCTAGTGGAACTTTCTAACCTTTGAAAAAATGGTGCATATTTTTAATTGCCAGATAAAAATACATATATTTATATCAGAGATAAATGAGAAATCCCTTGAATTGTCTGTCTCTTACTTAGCCCATAAGCTTCCAGCGGTTGTCACACAGGCTTTGCCCTTCCCCTTTTGCTGGGAAGAACCGTGTCCGTACAGTTCTTTCCTGAATTAAGTGGTTTGCGAAGTCCGTTGACTGGAGACTCGTCACAAGAAGCATCCAGCTTCAAATAGCAGCAAAATAGTAGTTTCTGTGGTCAACACGAGCGTTAACAATGAATGTGGAGACCCAACGGAGGTGCTTTTGTCATGTCCTGGCAGCTGCAGCGTATGGTTCCCCATCCCAGGCTCTCCTGGTAAAGACTGACAAAGTTGGCAGAAATCAGGAAGTTCCGCAACCGCGGAGATGCCCGAGTGCGGGATGAGAGGTGGGAAACCTCGAGGGCTGACGTGTCAGCTGAGCGCGGCGTTGGCCGAGTTTGCTGCTTCGGTTGTGTACCGAGCTTGAAAGGCAACAGCGCTCTTTTTAAGGAGAAAAACATGAGGGAGGGAAGAAAATCCTGGAAATACCCATGTTTCTCAGCCACAAGTACAAGAGCTGAGGGCAGATCGCTTCTCAAAGCTTGTGCTAAAGTGGTAAGTAAAAAGCCAGCAAGAACTGAGCTTGATTTGGTGTGCTGCACTGTTTCTGAATTGGTCCAAAATAGTTTTTGAGTCAATGAAGTTTGAGGCAGTAATAGGATTCAAGAGTAGGAGCTGGACAGGTTTAAGCTGAAGCCAGAACTTGTACAAGGAAGATTTTGCCTGCAGGTTTTTGTCGAGCTGCACACCACACGTGCAAAGGGTGCTGACGTTTCTTCCCAGAAGAAAAGACGTCTGTGCTGAGAGGACAGACTGGAAGTGATGGATCTGGTGCACTCGAGCAGGCAGCTTAACCAGAGTAGAAACACACTCGGATTTAAGCAACATCTTTGTTTATAAAAGTCCTGCAGTGCTTAAATACCTGGATCAACGTGTGAAGTTTTATTTTGTAAGAACTAATTTTGGTTGGTGTTTCTGAACTTGGTGGCGCTCAGAGCATGACATCAGTTTGGAGACAGGTCGCCTGCAGAAGAGTAGTTTTCCTTTATTTGATTTGCACTGGGAAGGATGAAGAGACGTTTCCACTGACATTCCTGATGACGTCCATATTTATGTAGCTACTTTCTGATTTGGAGAGGATAACCAGTAAAACACCAGATAACTGGTAAAACGCAGGCACATAATGACTTTTTTTTTTTTTTGCCAAGTCATTTGATTTATTTTTCAGTCATTGACACCAAGTCCCACAGCATTTCATTTGAGGTGGGTGTTCACTGCCTCAGCATCTCCCAGCAATCCTGTGGAGGGGCTGTTCCACACCCCTGCAATACCTTTGGCTGTGAGGCTACGTCTGCACAAAGGAGATGCTGGGTTTTTTAAAGTAGGACTTTGCTGTAAGTACTTCTTCATTCTACACTTTCAATGGTCCAAGGTGACAGAATTCCAAAGACATGGAACATTTAAGATGAGTTGTATGTGGTCTTTTTCTTGCCTGCCCTAACTGGAAACGTTTGCCAAGGGCAGATGTCATCCTCTGGCGCAGTTTGGCGCTGCGTGTGCGCAGACAATGCCTGCGCACGCCGACGGTCCTCGTACAACGCGGCAGAACTTTTTGAGTGCCCAGCAATAAAATAGTTACAGCAATGTTCAGAAAGATTTACACTCACAAAAATGACAAACTGTGGAACATGATGAATTCTGTATTGAGGGGTTTTGGTTTTTTTTGTTACAAAAATGTTAAATTAAACCGACTACTACTTTGTTGTTGGTGGTTTTTTCCTTTCAATTTTCTCTTGTGGAACTTATCCACACAGGGTTTTTTATACTGGAACGCCTTTCAGCAATACTTCTGCAAACATTAAACATATTAATTGTCGCTCCCTTTTAGGATCCTTCAGACTAGTAGAAGTCATGTTGTAATAATCCAAACATCT